TTAGGAGGAACAGAAGGCATATGCTTCAGCCAGAAAGAAATAGCTTGTTACCAATCTGATGTGCTGCCAGTCCCTGGACATCTTTTCAGAACATCAGTCAGCATCAAAATGAGTTTTCTTATAGTGTTATTCTTTTTTTAATTTTTTTTTTTTTTTTAACAGCAAATTGCAGTTAGAATACAGTTAAAAATGGAACATAGTTGGAGTGAATTGTGTCTTCCCAAATCAGGATTTTCTTAAAGATAGTTCTTGGTTCTTTTTGAAAAATGCTGCAGCAGCATACAAACAATTTGGCTCCTTCCCTGGGGTGTGAGTAGTGTTCTCAGTATTGTCAGTGGGAGCAGCTGGTTGCCAATGCAAGTTACTGCTGATATCCTGGTTTTTCCACAGGGCCACTGACCTGTGGGGATGAGAGGAGTCAGGAGTCTTTCTCTCCCAAAAGACAGACACTACCAATCGTTTGATAGAAACACATGATAGAGCTTCCATGTTTGTGGTGGCTTCAGGGTCCTGCTTGGGTTGGAATGTGAACAGGGTTAATACAGTCTGTTTGGAGAATAAAAGTTGGAACAAACACACAGAGGTCATTATATAAGTAGAGCAGAGCAGGTATGTAAGTCTTTTTAAATGATGAATACAACTTTTCCCACTTAGTCTTCCAAATGAAGTTATGAGCACACTTTTGTCTGGAAGAGTTGGCCTGTTGGCTTTAGCACCCCTTTCGTGCACTGCTCTAGCTGCCACCCGAACATTTCACAGAATCATAGAATGGCTTAGGTTGGGAGGGACCGTAGAGATCATCTAGTCCAACCTCCCTGCCATGGGCAGGGATGCCTCTCAACTAGACTAGGTTAATTTGTACCAATTTACCATGTACCAAGTTACAGAATCCTAGAATGGTATCACAGAATGGTAGGGGTTGGAAGAGACCTCTGGAAATCATCTAGTCCAAGGCCCCTGCCAAAGCAGGTTCACCTTGAGCAGGTTACACAGGAGCACATCCAGATGAGTTTTGAAAGTCTCCAGAGAAGCAGACTCCACAATCTCTCTGGACAATCTGTTCCAGTGCTCTGTCATCCTTACAGTAAAGAAGTTTATCCTTATGTTCAGATGGAACTTCCTGTGTTCTGGTTTGCGTCCATTGCCCTTTGTCCTGTCACTGAGCACCACTGAAAAGAGTCTGGCCACATCCTCTTGACCCCTGCCCTTTAGATATTTACAAGCATTTATAAGATCCCCTCTCAGTCTTCTCTTCTCCAGGCTTTAGTTTGTTTGCAGACCCAGGTCTCTCAGCCTTTCCCCTAAAGAGATGTTCCAGTGCCCTAATCATCTTTGTAGCCCTCTGTGTCAGCCCTTCCTCTCAGTTTTTTATCACTTGCTGAGGGTACACTCTGTCCCTTTATCCAGGCCATTGACGAATATCTTGAACAAAATGGGACCCAGTAGTGATCCCTGGGGAACACTGCTAGCTACGGGCCTCCAATTACACCATTATCACACTTCTATAGACATGTCTTTTCTTTCACTAACACCTAAACGTGCTACAAGGCTATTGTGTGTATCACATGCTTCTGCAAAGTTCCTGTCTCTAGAGGTTTTGCTTGCTGTTGCCAAACTTGCAGGCACAGGCACGTGGCAGTTTAGGCCAAGCATGAAAAAGGGGCGGGTAGGAGAAAGTTTCATGGTCCCTTAAGGTAAGTCTTTTTTTTTTTTTTCCTGTTTGTTTGTTTGTTTTACTTAACCAACCTAGAACAACTAAATATTTTCATAATGTTGGTATTATGTTGCTAATAAATAATGTAGATTGTTCGTTTTTTGTGATAGTCTTAGCACTTCGCAGTGACTTGCACATCTGATTTGTTATGAGAGTTTGAAAAGCAAAAACCTAAACCTAAACAAAAAAAATTCTGAATTTGTAAGAAATAGGAGTGTGCTGTTTTAGACAAGATAGGGCTTTCTTCCCTAGAACACAGATTTTGTTTCTCAGACATACCTTGTGTGCCATTTATGAGAGTATTTAGACCGAACATTTGAGGTAGGGTCTTATATTTTCTTCTTGCTTTTCACAGGCTTTGGGGAACCATGAATTTGATGAAGGTGTGAGTGGATTATTGGATCCTCTTCTTAAAAATGCTAATTTTTCAATCCTGAGCGCAAACATTAAAGGAAAAACTCCATTAGGAAATGAAATGATGAAATATGTTAAACCTTTTAAAATAGTACATTTTGACTCAGAACCAGTAGGAATTGTTGGCTACACTACAAAGGAAACTTCTTTCCTTTCACAACCCGGTATGTTTTCTTTAGTATATATGTTTAAATCCCTTGTTACTATTTTTTACTTGCTCACTTGTTTGCAACCAAAGATGAATGTTTGCGGCTGAAAAGCAAGAAGTTTGTTGTTTTATCAGTATTTACTAGTATTAGTGCAACTTTGTAACTGCCTCATTTTTAAACTGGAGAAGGTTTGTTAACATTAAAAGCTATTTTCATATAGACTTAAATTATTTAGCATCACTGAATTATCTAAGAATATAAGGTCAGTGAGATTGCAGGAGAACTGGGAGGAAAGGGTGGGCTTTGGGGTTTTTATTGTTGTTTGGGTTTTTTAATTGATATTCTTTTATATTTTATTGTTATTTATCCTTTTAAACAAATGTTAAAACATGACTACAGCTTATCTCTGAAATGAAATGTGTTCAAGACATTTATGTGTGTCTCGAAATTTTGCTTGTGAATGCCTCTGTGCCTAAGCCCTAGTACAAGCAAGGAGAGCTTCGTGTGTGTTTTTGAAGCACAAGTTGCCCAGCATGTTTTTAGCCTCTCAAATATTTCCAGAAATTAGACTACAGAAGGAACACCCATTCAGCTTTTACCACAATTGGTTCATTCATGAGTAAAATTAGAATTGATGAGGAAAAAGACCTCTCAATTTCTGACTATTTTTTCCAACATTTAAGAGGTTTTGGCTTGTTGAGGGTTTTTTTTTAGTAAAATAAAATGTTCTAGTGGAATGAGAAACACATTTCAATCAGCTGTTGGAGATCTGAGTCACTGCCTGCTCAAAGCTCAGGCCCTCTCTGACAAAATCAGACTTTATTCCCTGGCTTAAGCAGTTGGGATGCCCTAAAAAACAGTTTAAAGCTTTGACATAGGATTTCATATTATTACTTCTCTTTCCATTGCTTGGTAATAAGGAAGTACTGAGTAGCTGTCTTGAAAAAAGGAATATTCAATACTTTGAGGAAGCATTAGAACATAAAACTGTTCCTTCTGTGCCTTTTAATTACTATGCTGCATGTTTATCAAGAAGTGGATGTCTGAGGTCTGAACAGATTTCTGTATCTCTCTTCTATTTTACAGTGATGTGCTTTTGGAGTCTTTTTTTTCCCTTGACAAAAAAGAAAATTGGTCTGTATTTTGTGTAGACAATAGAATTTCACCTGTGCTTGGGGTCATGGGTGTAGGTATCTGACATAGAATCATAGAATCCTTTAGACATAACACCAAGTCTGAAAAATGGACAAATAGCCAATATGGTTCTTCATTAAGGATTAATAAAATAGAACTCAGCTCTTCGTCTAAAAAACTGCATTGGTGTGGTAAAGTCATCAAGTTCACTTTTGTTCAAATAAATATTAGAGGAAAATCCAGGTAGCGCTGGAATGATTCTGTGAGGCATTTAAATATATTTCCAATAAAATTGAGACATCACGTCGGATGCCTCGGTATGCTGAGACATTGTAACAGAGACCAGGGCTAGGAAAAGCAGCGTGCTGAAGGAAGGCTTGTTAGCTCCATAGATGGAGCTGAAGCAGCTCAGTGTATCCCACAGCGTAACTGAGCAACAAGCAGGGCAAAGTCTAACAGCAACATTTATAGTGATCAGAGATTTTATCATTTTCTGCTTCGCCTTCTCAGTGCGGGGAGGAACATTTGGAAGCTTTGAAAATGCGGGTTCAGGACACGTTAATATAGCTCAGTGATTATATGACCTGTGACCCAGCAATCCTTCAGACTGATAAAATCATGACAGAAGCGGGTCTGTGGCAAAACAATTACCAACCTAATTCCTTAGCTCAGTGAGTAAGAGACGTGTGATTTTTAAATGCAACACCTTGCTTATCTCTACGCAGTTCTTGCAGATGATTCAGTTTGCTCAGACTCTGCAGCCGTTGCTTTGGCACGCTGTACACTCCTAGGGCATTCTCAAGGCAAGCAGGAAGCTTGAAAGTGCTGAAATGTGAATTCCTACGTGACTGCTTTCTGTGGAAATCTTTTGCGAGTGTGATTTCTTCTATTGTTAAATCTCAAGAATTTCCACATGAAATTACAACTTGTACTTTTCATAATCTGCTTAAAACAGCTCTCAGCATATTTGAACGGAGTATAAAGTCCTTAAACCTGAGTGTTTCCATTGTGAAGGAACAATTAATCTCTGCTGAAGGCACTGCTAATGTTACTGTTTGGAAACCATAGGGATGGGGAACTCTTAGCACAATTTATAGATTACAGCCAATTGGCAGTTATTCTAAGGTTTCCCTCCATTTTACTGCATACAGCTATCTCAGCTGAACGCTCAGCCAGTTTTTCCACATCCTGCAAGAGCTGTTCATAACTTTGCCCATAGACAGGTTTGTCTATGTATTTGCTTTGCACTGATCATCCCAAGACCATCTTTCTAGTATTTTATGGTACCAACTCACTTGCTTTAGTTCTGCAATGATGTTGTAAACCCCACAAAATAGCTAATGTCTATCTGTCCTGAGAGTTGCTACATACACACTTGGTGCTGTGAAATAATAGGTCTCATTTTGTCCACTGTATTTTCATATAAAGTGGAAAGCCAAAGCTTCTTACTCCAGAACCTGACAGGCAGCAAAATATTTACTAAAACTGTCAATTTGGCCGAGTTCTCTAAAACAGAATTTTAAATTCCATTTATTCCTCTGTATTCTGGCTAGCTTGCATAATATTCTTAACGTGCAGCCAGTTCTTTTTGCCTTGTTCATTTATAGCACGGTTTGGATGCTTTACCTGAAACTCTACCCCATCTAAAAAGAGAAGAGGATGTCACGTCAGTTTAATGCCTTGGAAGAGAAGTGAAACACTGACATGAGCAATAACTGACTCTTAAATAAGCACTTTATTACAATTCAGGTTGTTCTGAGAAATGTGCAGTTGAGTGCTTAAGCAGCGTATTGCTTTTTGCCTGGTTTCTTAGAGAAGTGAGCGCTGTGTTATTGCTCTTACAGTCTCCCACTGTGTAACTTTTGAACCTGCTGGCCCATTTCAGCTCAGGCAGATCAAGCGCTGAGATGACTAGGATACAAAGCTGTGTGACTTGCCATGGCTATGTCATGGAGAGGGGGGACAAGAAGGCCCTGCAGCTCCCAAGCATAAATCCTTTTCTGAGGGTGAGGTGGGCAGCAGGCAGTCACTGGGTGGATGGGTTGGGACTGCCGCTGCCCACGCCAGGGCTGGTGGCTGCCTGTGCCCTGCTGTAACAGTCCTGGGAGAGAGATGGACTTTCTGGCACGGGACAGGCCTTGTTTTCCTTCTCATTCTGAAAATTGTTCTGTTTGTTTGTTTAAATACGGGTTGAAGATTAATAATAATATGTCTTAAGTGTGTGGTGCATTGTAGCCTGCAACGGTGTAGAGAAGTAACAGCTGGTGCTGATGGGGAGTGTTTGCTTATCCTGGGTTATCATGGGCCACCTGGATGCATGCCATGGGAGAAGTTAGCCTGCAGGCAACTGTGTGCTAGCACAGCTAGTTAGTGGCTTGCTTTTGGTCTTTGTTTAGAGAGCTCAGCTCTCTTTACAGAACTGGTCTCTACACAACAGGACATGTGCATGGCCATTGTAGTTGGTCCATGGGTGGTAAGATGAACATGTGAGGGGCCTACACTCAAGGAGCATTTCTCAGGCGTCTCTGTTTGCCAGCAGCTCCGTATGAAGCCCAGCTTGTCAAGCACAATGATGTACAACAAGGGGCTGAAGCTGGTGGCTTCTTTCAGCCTGGAGAAGGAAGGCTAAGGGGCAACTAAGGGCAGTCTTCCTCTATCTTAAGGGAGTCTACAAAGGAGACAGGGACAGAATCTTCCCAGATGGCCACAGAGACAAGAAACAATGGGCTCAAGTAGTACCACAGGAAATTATGGTGGGACATAAGGAAAA